ATCAATGCTTACATCACAGACTGGTAAAACAAAGATACTCTCAGGAGACAAACTTACCCCAATCTTTTAACCGTCCATTCAGAGGTGTATTTCTTGGTTTAACATGTACTTGGCAAGAGTTAACAACAACATTATCATTCGGGTTGAGATTCCTTGTACTGACAATTCCTGGGGCACAGTAACCCCTCATTAGCAGATAGTTGGTATGAGATGCCTGACGAGCTTTAACTTCTATTTTACGTTTATGCGATACATTTTCATCCACTTCTTCATCATCAAAATCCTCGTCATCAAGACCATCTCTTCCAAGGCTGCAGGTCAGAAAAGAAACTTGTAAACACAAAATGAAACATAAAATTAGAGCTGCAGCTAACGATTATTTTGAAAATCGATTAGTTAGCCGATTATTATGTTCGATTAATCGGGATGGGGAAAAAATGGATCCAGTGATGGACTACTAGTTTGTATTGAGATTGTAGTCCATCACAGGAGCAAGCTTGGAGCGGTGGAAGTAAAAAAAATTAAAAAAAGTGTGGTGTGCAATATAGTGAAATGGAAAGTGTAAAAATACAGCAATCAATGCAGAATGGCAACGGCTACAGAGGACTACAAATCCCAGCAATAGTACATTATATAGCGCAATGCAGAATACCACCAGCTATAGAGGAATACAACAAATCCCAGCAATAGTACATTACACAGCACAATGCAGAATACCATAAGTTTTTCAATCATCGATTATAATCGACTTAGTCGATTAGTTGTTGCAGCCCTACGTAAAATGATATCTCCCATCCAGGAAAACCTCTGGTAGTTTTACCATTGTTCCATCTAAGCTGTACCCTTAAAGTGTATTTCCGCTTTTGCAGCCAAAATGAGATAGCACCTATTTTATATTTGTTACAGCTTATCGTGCTTCGATGTTTTTTTAAGCTAACTCCAGAATTCTGGAGCCCTGGAGTAAATCCTGCTTGGTTCTCACTATCTGGGGAGTTGGGTCTCAAATATTTAACCCCGTCTGTACTGTGCTGGCAGATTCCAATATCACTAGTAAACCAGATGAGCAGGACTGTCTGTCCTAACAAAGGGTTAAAGTCCGGAAGACATGGTATGTTAATGGAGGGGAGCTCAGTCTGTCCCTTGTCTTTCTATTAGGACAGAGTTTCCTGTAACTGAAATTGAGAGAGAAGCTTGCAAAGGCCTGCTGTATGGAGATATCTAAAAGATCAAATATATTATTGAAATGCTGTGTGAAAAGGTACACATAAACATATAAAAGACGAGTTCTCACTGTTGACTACAAAAGTGGAAATACAGTATAAGCACATGCACAGTGCACTTTCAGAAAGAGCTTCCGCAAGCCTTTAACCCTTTCACTGCCCCATCACTCCGGAGCGATTAATGACAGTCACTGTTCCCTGCATGTAGAAGATCATGAACTAAACGATCAGCGGTTTGTGATCGCTCAGTTCTCAATTTATAGAGCAGATGTGTGACAGCTGCAGTGTCACACGTGGACTCTAACTATTGGGATGAGTGAATTTCACTAATCCCATATAAACCGGTAGCTTTTGCTAAAAATAGCATCACTGCTAATAATATCTATTTAGCATTACTGTATACTAAAATGTACCCAATGCATATAGTGCAATAGGGGTTTAGATTTACCTGTGCATCCTAATTGTGTATGTTATGTGTTTATGTTTTCTTCTCTTTTTATTACTAGATTACATTATAATTATTTTCTCAACTGAATTTTTCTATTTAATGTATTACTGATACAAACAGCTAATATTCCCCCTATAATACAAGTATACAGAGGAAACAAAAGAAAAAAAAACTGATGTAACCACCACATCTATGGACTGATATGCTCCAATAAATTACCATTTTTTTCTTGGGTTGGATGAAATTTAAGTTATAGCAATGGACACAAATTTTTCAATCACTTTATACGTAAATTATGCTTTTAAAAGATGTTGCTAAAAAAAATTGTTACACCAATTAGAGAGGAAACTCTGCTACCTTTGTTTTTTTCTAATAGGCCAGATACCATAACCAATCATTAGGTCCCGGAGTATTTGGGAAATATTGACAGTAATATGGTAACATCTGAGATGGTATTCAATAAAATACAGAATAGGAAGGGTGTGTTTAATATCTTAATATGGGAAAATGGAATTACCCGATCAAATCTGGCCCGGCCTCTCCCAGTCCTGCCCTATGCATTTTGAATTTCGCTTGCAAATTGCAAGCACTCATTGGTCAGCGTCGTCAGGTGACCACGCTAACCAATGAGAAGCGGTTTTCAGCACAGTCAAATAAGGTTTTGATTAGGGATGCACCAATACCGAGTATTTGGGTGAGTACTTGTACTTGCCCAAATGCTATGAAATCTTCCATGATACCAGAACTTCCGGTCAGAGGAAGATTTCCACTGACCAGCAGTGACGTAGGGGAACATGGAATCAGCTTCCTGTGCAATCAGGAAGCCGGGCTCGATGCTGATTGGCTGGGAAGCCGGTTTCCCAGCCAATCACAATCAAGCCGGCCAAACAGGGAGCTGCATTCCCTGCCAATCAGGAAGCCTGGTGGCATGTCATTACCCGCTGCCAGGCTTCCCGATTGCCCCCGGAAGCCAGCTCCATGCCAACGGAAGCACCGATATCGGGGAGTACCGAAAACAAAATATTGGTACTCGTAACCGAAAAAAAACGGTATTGCTGCATTCCTAGTTTTGAGCAATTAAAACTATTTTTTTGTATTGGGACAAGTAGATTGTCATGTGGGACAAGTAGGAAGGGCCCCCGCTTTAGCCCTTGAACAAGTAGCTTTTTTTATTTATAACTTCATTATCAACCAAATTGCTGTCAACAACTACAATTTGGTCTGGAATTTTAACATTCACAGATATAAATCCCAGCAGCAGGAGGGAAAGAACAGTTGCACACTGGCCACCTTGTCCATCCAGAGGATATACCAACATGTCTGTAGACGTTTCATTAGTTTGATCCCCAAACGTAAACACATCAGGTTCATCAGTATTTCCATATGTCTTCAGTTTTTCCAAAAACTCAAAGGATTCTGTACATATTGTCGATGGAAATCGCCAGATAAAAAGCCTACGGAAACAAGTCAATTAAACCTAATAATGACCAAATGAATCAAATCAGTGCAATGTATGGGGTGTGTCCATCTTACCTATAGTAAGTCTGGGATAGCTGAAATGACATTGGCAAAAATGGGAGAGCACGGTTTTTCTTTGGCCCCAACAGATGGTTGCCTCGACGTCGATTTACCAGTCTTTTCTTTTGAAATTCCAAGAAAGCCTTCACAAGAATGTCATCGTGATACTGTCTATACATACGATATGTCTACAGAGAGATCAAAAGCACAAAATGAAAATCACATTTGTACCTGTTTTGTATATTAGGACTAACATCAGTACCTCTACAGTATTTTTCCAGACATATTTTTTTTTTGTGTGTTGTAGAATGAAAATGCAGCAGCTAGCATACATCACATTTTATTTATTATATACTGTGTGTATATAATATACACACACACACACTATAACATTTATATAAAACATATATATATATTTTTTTTTTTTTACTAGAATAGGATTAGCAGCAGGAATAGAAATCCACT